ATCGCGGCGTGTCAGCTTAATGTGGGAAGAAAGCCCCAAGTGATGCAGGTCTCAGACGTTTACCACTTCGGTGAAACCCACGAGCACGGGTATGGTGCTGACAAATCTAGAAACATAATCGGGCGAACCGGGATTCGAACCCACAATCATAGGTTTCTGGCGTGTCCAAGGGACGCAACTCTGCACAGCGAATCGCGGCGCCTCAGACGACTGGGCCACCCGTGCCCCCGATCGTCGGAGAACGCCAGCTTGTCTGTGTATATACTACCGGACGTTTTCAAAACACTGTGCACTGTAAAGCCATTTCCTTCATTCTAGACCTTACGTCGTGGGAAATAGCTTCTTTTACAAATAATATTTTTTTATAAGCTTTACTGCAATATAGTTATGATTATAACACAACCGTTTATGAAGTCAAGTATTCAGTTTAATTGTATCATTTATATGTTCATATTTTTTAACCTGTAAGAAATGAAATCTTACTGCAGGCAGTTTTTCTCATTATTTCAAGTTTATCTAAAAAGTCTCGTTATTTCGAATTTTTCGCGTTATAATTGAGTGTGGAGGCGACTAACGGGATCGGGTGGTCAAGCTCGCTGACTTGGAAGATGCATGTCATCGATCCTAATTGCGTAGATTGATGCTCACGATGTCAATCACTGCATGTCTGGTCCACACTCGATTATTTACAGACCGCCGTAATTTTGCTAGAATATTGTTGAGTGCGGCGTGAAACAACAAACAAACAAACAAACAAGGGTGTCAGGTGGCCTGGTCATCAGGTTCGGTGACCTGGTTGATCGTGTGGCATCGTACCAGGACGGCGTGGATCAGCACGCCATATCATGGCTCGAATACGGCTGCGAGGCGTTCAACAATGTAAAAAAATAGAACACAAACTCTGCTAGACTTTAAAGTTCATCTTTCACAGATTGGGCATATTCAAACAGCGTTCGCTATGTAAGTGCAATAATCTGGATGGCGAAGTAAAACCCCATTGACTTCACCCCAAACACAAGTGGTCTTATCCTAAAACAGAAAAGTCACAATGTTCGTGTACACAAATTCCTTCTTCACGCCGCGTTCTATTTTCTTTATTTCGTTAGGAAAAATGTGTGATATAAAAGACGGTATAATTGAAATCATAGATATTACATGCGTACTTTTAACTACTATGTATGCACGCAATATGTACAACCAGTCCTAACAGCCGAATTGTGTAACACGGCGATAAGGCCACAGAAAGTTAACGAAGGGCAATAAAATGTCTATACGGTTCCTGCTCAAACGATCTGTCCAAACACACCATTGACATGAAAGGTACTTCCATGACAAATAGACGATGAATTGGTGTGTTCTGTCATCTGTCTGCAATGGTTATAGCAGTAGCCCTTATCGATGTGTGTTAGTTTCGAACTGACATTACCGTATTCGAGGTAATAAGCGCCTCGCTCTGATAAGCGCCCACGTCGAGATTTGCTAATATATTGCCTAGTGAACAATCCCAATTAGCACCCCTTCCGACCCTTATTCGCATATAATACGCACCGCTCCCTTCCCCTATTCGCGTTTAATACGCACTCGTGTGTTATATGCACCCTTTATTATTGGCAATTAAATTCTGGAAAAATATATCTGTCGTACATAAACATTTCAGGCTGTCAGCATAAACCACGAAATTTATCTTAATCAAAATAATATTCTAATAAGAGCCCCCTATTTCTAATTTTGAGAGCGCCCTGGGCGCTTATTTCGTCGAATACAGTAAATGTTTTATTCATCATGATCTAGAAAATACACCTACTACATCGACTCCATTCATTTCTGTAGTTTTCAAATCAGTCAAGTGTCACTTGTCTCGAAGTGTACTCCCTGTCATATATGACATAGAAACAAACCCTACCTTCTCAAACCAACTGAAACAAAATGGATTTGTAGTCATCTGACAGAGCTGCCAACATATATCTTCTCATATACCGTGGACCCATGAAGATCTTTGTATACCATGACTCATCACAAAACAAGCTAACGTATATCTCCTCATATACCATGACACATCACAAACGGGTTACCGTATATCTCCTCATGTACCGTGTCTCGTGACAGCCATTCTAACGTATATCTCCTCACAAACTGAGACTCGAGAAAGACAGACGTCTCCTTAATGAGTCTTTGTATACAATGATTCATCACAAAACAAGCTAATGTATATCTCCTCATATACCATGACGCATCAGAAACGGGTTACCGTATATCTCATGTACCGTGACTCCAGACAAACAGGCTAACGTACATCTCCTCATATGCCATGACTCATAACGAACAGGCTAACGTACATCTCCTCATATACCGCGACTCCTGACAGACAGGCTAACGTACATCTCCTCATATACCGCGACTCCTGACAGACAGGCTAACGTACATCTCCTCATATACCGCGACTCCTGACAGACAGGTTAACGTACATCTCCTCATATACCGCGACTCCTGACAGACAGGCTAATGTAAACTATGTGTCGCCGTGGCAGGCCAACATATGTACGGGTGCACTTGTAAACTGGTAGTCAATAGTATGTTATTTTAATTGAATAAACTCTATGACAGACACGGTGCAGATATAGTTTAGACTCTTATTTGAGTTTAAATTTATAAAGGATATATTTTTGAAAACGTTCCTTCTCAATACACCATCTCACATCACGAAGCAAATATCATAAATAGGGAAATCGACACGATGTGCATAACTTTCAAATGTATAAATTATACATTCAAGTTTTAAAATTCCTATATTACACAAAACGAAAGCTTTATACAGTCACAACAACGTTGAACCCCACCACTGATTCATCCAGCGGAAGTCCTTACAAACCGAGGCAATTAAATATGACTTAGAAAATGAAAAACCTGTATCTGTGTACAACTAGGCTGTTTGGGGCCGTCAAGGTCATGTCCCCGCGGTTGAGGACGATCTGTCCTCAACATGTATGACGACATGTCCTCGCCGTTTGTTTGTTTGTTTGTTTGTTCGTTTGTTTGTTTAACATCGACCTTGCAATATTCAGGCTGTATGAAGGTGGTCTGTAAATAATCGAGTCTGGATAAGCCTATCCAGTGATTGACGTCATGAGCATCGATACACGCAATTGGTATAGGAAGACATGCACCGACCAAGTCATCGCGCCTGACCACCCAATCCATCAAGTTTCCTCTGACGACAATAGCCGACCTATATTCTTACCGGAATCCAAAGGGGTCGTTCGTTGTGTAGGTGGCCTGTCCCCTCTTTTTTGGACGGCCTGTCCCCAAACGTTTAGGACGTGTGAGACGCCATGTCCTCGTTGTGTAGGATGCCCTGTCCTCGTTGTGCAGGTGTACCTGTCCTCCTTGTGAGTGACGCTCTATCCTCGTTGTGTAGGACGCCCTGTCCCCGTTGTGTAGGATGCCCTGTCCCCGTTGTGCAGGAATACATGTCCTCCTTGTGAGTGACGCTCTATCCTCGTTGTGTAGGACGCCCTGTCCCCGTTGTGTAGGATGCCCTGTCCTCGTTGTGCAGGAATACATGTCCTCCTTGTGAGTGACGCTCTATCCTCGTTGTGTAGGACGCCCTTTCCCCGTTGTGTAGGATGCCCTGTCCTCGTTGTGCAGGAATACATGTCCTCCTTGTGAGTGACGCTCTATCCTCGTTGTGTAGGACGCCCTGTCCCCGTTGTGTAGGATGCCCTGTCCTCGTTGTGCAGGAATACATGTCCTCCTTGTGAGTGACGCTCTATCCTCGTTGTGTAAGACGCCCTGTCCCCGTTGTGTAGGATGCCCCGTCCTCGTTGTGCAGGAATACATGTCCTCCTTGTGAGTGACGCTCTATCCTCGTTGTGTAGGACGCCCTTTCCCCGTTGTGTAGGATGCCCTGTCCTCGTTGTGCAGGTGTACCTGTCCTCCTTGAGATGCCCTGTCCTCGGTGCGTAGGAAGCCCTGTCCCCGTTGTGCAGGCGTACCTGTCCTTGTGACGCCGTCCTCGATGCATAGGACGCCCTGTCCCCCTTGTGTAGGTCGCCCTGCCCTCGTCGTGTAAGACACACTGTAGACGTTGTGTAGGACGCCTTTTAGGGCAACCTGTCCCAGTTTGTAAACACGTCCTGTCCTCGTTGTGTAGGGGGCCCTGTAGACTTTGTGTAGGGTATTGTGTTGTTATTTTTGTTGTTTGTTGTTTGTTGTTTAACACCGCACTCATCAATATGACGGCCTGTAAATAATCGAGTCTGGACCAGACAATCCAGTGAGTGACATCATGAGTATCGATGTATCGATCGATCGCCAATTTGGATACGATTACATGTATCAACCAAGTCAGCGAGTCTGACCACACGATATCGTTAGTCGCGTCTCACGACAATCATGATTTGCTCAAGAACAATTAAAACCCGGATTTCACTTGGGGATTTCGCGGTATGCATGACAATTGATGATGAACATATACAATTTTAGTAATATCTCGGTGCGTCAAGTCTGAAGATACACGGCGCTGAAGCTGACATAGACCAAGGTATATTCGAGATGTATTCGGCTGAGGGACGTACCAACCGTTCCCACTCTGAATACTTTGGGTTCTTTTTTCACAATCAGAAAAAAGTCCGGTTATATCATCGCGCCCTGTAAATAATCGAGTCTGGACCAGCCAAACCGTTGGTTGATATCATGAGCAACGCCCTTCGCCATCGGGGGTACCATGACACGGAATGAACCAAGTCAATAGAGTGCATGGTACGTATTCTAACCGGGTGCCCACGGGGTGCTGGGGTGCCGGGGTGTAAGGGTGCCGCGGTGCCGGGGCGCAGGGGTGCCGGGGTGCCGGAGTGCCAGGTGTAAGGGTGCCGGGGCGTCAGGGTGCCGGGGTGTCGGAGTGCCGGGTGTAAGGGTGCCGGGGTGTCGGGGTGCCGGGGTGCCGGAGTGCCGGGTGTAAGGGTGCCGGGGTGTCGGGGTGCCGGGGTGCCGGAGTGCCGGGTTTAAGGGTGCCGGGGTGTCGGGGTGCCGGGGTGCCGGAGTGCCGGGGTGCCGGGGTGCCGGAGTGCCGGGTGTAAGGGTGCCGGGGTGCCGGGGTGCCGGGGTGCCGGAGTCCCGGGTGTAAGGGTGCCGGAGTGTCGGGGTGCCGGGGTGCCGGAGTGCCGGGTGTAAGGGTGACGGGGCGTCAGGGTGCCGGGGTGCCGGAGTGCCGGGTGTAAGGGTGCCAGGGTGCCGGGGTGTCGGGGTGCCGGGGCGTCAGGGTGCCAGGGTGCCGGGGTGCCGGGGTGCCGGGGTGCGGGGCGCAGGGCTGCCGGGGTGCCGGGATGGCCTTTGTTAGTATAACAAACATGAACACTACTACCACATCTAGGGAATAAGAATTCAGTTATTTTTAGCCGACACATCGCTATATGGTTGTATCCGTGATGACTGATTGCTGAGTGAGTGAGTGAGGGAGCGAGTAACGCTTTTATTTTAGCAATGTCTAACGTCGGGGAACACCATTAAAAGCTTCACACGTGCACTACCATGCCATGCGCTTTAACGGTTCCACGAGGCAAACTCACCATTTTTACTCGTATCTCGGTTAGTTTAATGGGTGTTCAGGGTCAAATCTCAGATTAATAATAAACACAACTGTGTTTCACGACATGTAGTCCTTGTATAAATCGCGGTGTTGCATAACTACCACATGTACACACCTCCATGCATGGCAGTGCCACACATGACATTCGGTCGCCTATATACACACCCCATCAGTGTTCACTGCTTTACAGGGAGCACGGGTGGCCCAGTCGTCTAAGGAGCCGCGATTCGCTGTGCACAGTTGCGTCCCTTGGGCACGCCAGAAACCTATGATTGTGGGTTCGAATCCCGGTTCGCCCAGATTATTTTTCTAGGTTTGTCAGCACCATACCCGTGCTCGTGGGTTTCACCGAAGTGGTAAACGTCTCAGACCTGCATCACTTCGGGCTTTCCTCCCACATTAGGCTTAACGCCGCGATATAACTGGAATATTGTTAAAAGCGGCGTTAAATCCAACTCACCCACTCACTCACTCACTGATTTACATGACCAGATATATCAACGGGTCATTGCACATCCCATCCTGCCGGGTACCCACTCACTGCTGGGCGAACCGGGGTATATTTCGAAAGAAGTCTGTCGTCTAAGAAGACACCACACGACGTTTATAACCTGAGATTCTGTGTGGGGAAAATACCAAAATATCAAGTCAAGCTTTCCGAGCGCGGTCACCTGTATTTTTATTATGATAGTTAGTAAACAATGTCTCATCTTACCTTAAACAAACGACATGCAACTGAATCAAGTGAAACAGTTTTTATCATGTTATTAAATGGATGTTTGACATTCGGAACACGCACCAGCGACGAGGAATTTTTAATATATTATTTAATTCACATTGCAAACAAGGACGGCTTCAAATCTGTCATCCACCCACTCTCCGCCGCCAGCGTCGTACCAGCATGATTTGTGACACAGTGTGGACTATACACAGGGCCACTTGCCACCACATTAATACGATAATGCACTCCCTTCTCGGGCTTATTCCATAGTGCGGTAACACAAGACATAAGTGTGTCTGTTACAATGGAAGTAGAGAGAATGAACTTCAGTTATCACCGCACTCAGCAGTATCCCAGCTTTGTCAGGGCGACCTGCAAAAATGGAATCTGGTCCATGCGAACTAGGAAGTGAAGTCACAAAATATCAGTACGTGCGTTCGATTAGTCAAATTTGAGTCAACCGGGGTTGTCAATTTGGGTTGACTAGAATCAACCTGAGTAAAACAGCGTTAATCAAGGATAACTAAGGGCAGTGCCCAAAATAAAACGCATAAAACGCAACCTTGGTTATAATAATGGCTGCTAGGAGATGGGGAAACAGGACAGCCATGTGTATTGCTATAACACACATCTGTGAGAGGTTAACGACTGTTTCACAGCTTGACAAAGCCGTCATTGTACCTTTTTCTATTTAATCCTTCTAAATGACTAGAAAATTAACAATAACGCGCAGAACATCTAACGAGATGCAACATCATCATCATAGTTGCATTATTGATTTTAAAGTTTATTGTTTGTTGTTTAACGCTGTTTGGGACTGTCAAGGTCATGTCGCCGATGTGGAGGACGATCTGTCCTAAGCATGTATGATGACATGTCCTCGCCGTTTGTTTGTTTGTTTGTTTGTTTGTTTGTTTGTTTGACACCGACGTAGCAATATTCCAGCTATATGACGGTGGTCTGTTAATAATCGAGACTGGACCAGACAATCCAGTGATTGACATCATGAGCATCGATCCACGCAATTCATGCATCAACCAAGTCAGCGAGTCTGACCACCCGATCCCGTTAGTCGCGTCTTATGACAAGCAAAGTCGCATTTTACGGCAAACATGGGTTGCTGAAGACCTATTCCGACCCGGATCTTCACGGGTCGATTCTAAAGTATTTATATCAACAATCGAATTAATACCAACAACGAAAGTGAAATTTCCCTGATGCATATCAGAATACATACATACTATCAATACCTGGTTAAATTTATTCATTAAAATTATTATATTCATGACTGAATCAATAAATGAAACTAAATAGCTTTAACGATGACGTAACTTGGAGTGACCAGAGCGCCACATCCCACGGGTTCAGTTAGTCAACCTAGGTCAACCGAAGTGTGACGTTAATCAGTTAACGTGAATTAACATTGGCCAACCAAGGTTGACTTGGGCTCACCTGGTTCGTCGAGGGTGGCCCAGTCGTCTAAGGCGCCGCGATTCGCTGTGATGAGTTGCGTCCCTTGGACACGCCAGAAACCTATGATTGTGGGTTCGAATCCCGGTTCGCCCCGATTATGTTTCTAGGTTTGTCAGCACCATACCCGTGCTCGTGGGTTTCACCGAAGTGGTAAACGTCTCAGACCTGCATCACTTCGGGCTTTCCTCCCACATTTGGCTTAACGCCGCGATATAACTGGAATATTGTTAAAAGCGGCGTTAAACCCAACTCACTCACTCACTCACTCACTCACTCACTCACTCTTCCGACATGGTCATGTATTGGAACTGTGACCTAGCATTACAACACGGCGTTTGGAACATCTAGCAATTTGCCAACGATCTAAACTGCCTGGTGAAAAGGTATACAATTGAAAATTAGATTTGAACAAAAAATTACAAACGTTATCAAAACTTTACAAGGCTGAACAAAACTGATGATAGCTGTGATACCCGTTACTCTTTTTTAGTGATATAAAACATGTTTTTGTAGCTCGCTTCCTTCTGTGTGGTCAAGTACGAACTGCTGGCCATTCCGAAGATGTCCCGCCATACCTTCAGATGAATCACTATCGAAAAACCATTTATTGTTTGTTTCATTTTAACCACAATCAAACATTGGTGTGTACTTTCTTTTGTCCGACAGTTTACAAGGAATTAACGATTACTTATCCCCAGTGGTTTAAAGATGTAAGCTTTGGCCGTCACAATGATCCGTAATTCGGATACAGTATTTTATTTATAACTCATTGTCGTTTTTGATTATTTTGTTTGTTGCTTAACGCCGCACTCAGTAATACTGCGGATATAGGGCTATATATATAATCCAGTTATATCCCCCAAGCCTGACCACCCGATCCATTTAGTCGTCTCTTGGGACAAGCAGAACAGAAATGATCAACCAATTGTTTAGATGAAATGTTATCGTCCGCTGTTCAAGACGTGGCATCGCATTGTTCTCAACAAATAACCAGAGTGACGTCATCGCTTCACGTGACCAGTCAACATTGAGACCAAGAGTTCATGTTACACGACTGTGTATAATCATGTAACTCAAGTGCATATGTTACACATATATAATGTAATACAGTTGTGTATAATGTAACACAATCGTATGTATAATACACGTGTATATGTAACAGCGATACGTGCATATCATGTGTATTTTATGTAACATTGAAGCGTATATGTGAATAAAAACTAGAGTGAGTGAGTGAGTGAGTGAGTATGGTTTCACGCCGCTTTTAGCAATATTCAAGCAATATCACGGCGGGGAACACCAGAAATGTGCTTCACACATTGTACCCATGTCGGGAATCGAACCCGAGTCTTCGGCGTGACGAGCGAACGCTTTAACCACTAGGCTACCCGACCGCCCCGAAAAGAAAATAGAAAACGTCGACACCAGAGGATATAGATGTATACTGAAACACCAGAGAATATATACTGAAAGTCTAAAGAAAGTATAACTACCAGAAGACTTGTTGTTAAATTTGGTTATGTCTACTTAACTATGACCCTTTCCCCTGACAGTTTGTAAAAAGTAATCTGTGGCTGGGTAATTTTGTGAAAAAAATGAACTAGTTCAATAAAGACTGGGGTAAGAAATGAATTTGCAACCACATAGCCCCTACCACGTTTGCAATGCGCAAAAAGAGGAAATTTATTGATTTTCAATTAAAAAAGCTCAGATACTATGCATCAACAGTTGTGTATTATGCGATTTTAAATTCTTTTTTAAAGTTTTATATCAATTAATATTTTTCAAAATAAAACCATGTGGATTATTCTTTGAGTGCTGATTGAGCGCCAGTAATGGTTTAATATCTCTAACTTGAGGTGAGGTGAAATGGGGTTTAACGTCGCGTTCAAGATTATTGCACTTATATAGCGACGTGCATGTACGTGTGTGTGTGTGTGTGTGTGTGGCTGCTTGTACTAGGGGTTCGATCCCCGACCGCGTCATACCAAAAGACGTTTAAAGATGGTACTTGTTGTTACTCTGTCTGGCGCTCGGCATTAAGGGGCTAAAACAGGGACTGGTCGGCTCGGAGTCAGTATACTGTGTCTGATTGGGGTATTCATGTTAAACTGTGGCATGGTATCTCAGTGAGCTAGCACTATAAATCGGCATCAGACCGGACAAGTACAATCAGCCACACACACGTGCACACACGCACACGCACGCACGCCCGCGCACACGCACACACACACACACACACACACACACACACGTGCATGCACGTCGCTATATATATACGTTTAGCCCAATTTCACCTCTCCTCACCTTCTTCAGTGAATTCAGTCATACCACATCGTCAAAACGTGTTAGCTACTATTTCACAGCTGGGAGTGTTAAGTTCAACAATCAGTGTGTTCCCCATGTCGGTTGTCCTAATACATTATATGAAAAGATGTATATTGATTAAGTAACGCAACTCATATCGTGTAATGTGCGCACGACACATAGGAAGTGATGGATCACTCACTTAGCCTCTTGATCTAATTATAGGACTTTTAATATAATTCTCACATGAGTTAATAGTGTTCATACACTGTCAAAACTGCTTTTAGAATGTAAATACATACAAGAAACGTTTAGATCATGCTTAGGCATGTGTTTAATTCCTAAAAGGATTCCTATCGTCTCTCATCCTAAACAAAACCTAAACACAACATCCCCATAATCTAAAGATTGTTAAATACCAAACCTTTTTTTAGAATTTAAACACGTTTAGTGTAAAAAATGTTTAGAATTTAAACATGTTTACGAAAAAATGCATATCATTATGTATATTACGATAGACCCTCATTATGTATATTACGATAGACCCTCATTATGTATATTACGATAGACCCTCATTATGTATATTACGATAGACCCTCATTATGTATATTACGTTAGACCCTCATTATGTATATTACGATAGACCCTCATTATGTATAATACGATAGACCCTCATTATGTATATTACGATAGACCCTCATTATGTATATTACGATAGACCCTCATTATGTATATTACGATAGACCCTCATTATGTATAATACGATAGACCCTCATTATGTATATTACGATAGCCCCTCATTATGTATATTACGATAGCCCCTCATTATGTATATTACGATAGACCCTCATTATGTATAATACGATAGACCCTCATTATGTATATTACGATAGACCTTCATTATGTATATTACGATAGACCCTCATTATGTATATTACGATAGACCCTCATTATGTATATTACGATAGACCCTCATTATGTATATTACGATAGACCCTCATTGTGTATATTACGATAGACCCTCATTATGTATATTACGATAGACCCTCATTATGTATATTACGATAGACCCTCATTATGTATATTACGATAGACCCTCATTATGTATATTACGATAGACCCTCATTATGTATATTACGATAGACCTTCATTATGTATATTACGATAGACCTTCATTATGTATATTACGATAGACCCTCAGTATGTATATTACGATAGACCCTCATTATGTATATTACGATAGACCCTCATTATGTATATTACGATAGACCCTCATTATGTATATTACGATAGACCCTCATTATGTATATTACGATAGACCCTCATTATGTATATTACGATAGACCCTCATTATGTATATTACGATAGACCCTCATTATGTATATTACGATAGACCTTCATTATGTATATTACGATAGACCCTCAGTATGTATATTACGATAGACCTTCATTATGTATATTACGATAGACCCTCATTATGTATAATACGATAGACCCTCATTTTGTATAATACGATAGACCCTCATTATGTATATTACGATAGACCCTTACATTTTGTAAGTTCGTCATAATACTTCTATCTCCCACCTTAACTCTGAAAGCGCCCCTTTCTTAAAAGGTTGGATACGGGTCCTACCAATATTTAGACTCTAACATGTTTAGCTCCTAAACATGTTCAGACCCTAAACATGTGTATACCTAAACGAGTCAAAATTCTGGAACAAGGGTTGTGTTTAGGATCTAAACACAATGTTTCCTGTGTACAGACTGAGCCGATGTACATCATGCTTATAACTTTTTACAGAAGAAGAGGAAGAAGTAGAAAATGAGGACTGAAAAGAGGAAGAAGTTGAAGATGAAAAAGTAGAAAAACAAAACAATTTTTAACCGACCAACGGATCCTGGTATGACTAAGGGAGACTACGCTGTAAAGAGAGTTGCTACGCCTTTGACGATAACGATTGACACATGGCCTGCTGCCTGGGCATATAATGAATTTAACGCGGAATATCACAAAACGTATGCTTTAGCACCACGTAACAATGACATTTAAAGCAGAAAAGTATGGCATCCTTCAAGGGACATTGTCGTAATGTCGCCCTTTGGTAAAAACAAAATACATTATTTAAAGCACGGCAACACAACAATTGATCAAATAACGAGTTGCGATGTCTAGCTTTTGTTATTTTTTTCACGTTTGCTAGGTTTTTGTTAGGGTGACAACGCGACAGTGTCCCTTCTAGAACTCCATACAAAGGTTTGTCGTGCGTCATATGTCAGTGAGAATGTTGTTACATCAAACCAGACTACAGCATTCTTCTATTTCTGTCAGTCCTTGTGAAAGTAGTAGTCATATCTGTCAGATTGGAGGACAAATATTTTGTAAATATTTTGCCATTCAGTGTTTCATCTGCCCTGTTTGCACTACCAGCAGAAATACAAGTTGATACACGTCAACTAAATTCCCACTTCATGTGACTGACAATGTGTGCGGGTGAATAGCCTCCTTATTAATTGTCTAGAGGCAGCCACCAAGTGCTGTTGAACTCTATACTGAGCCGCAGGGTGCCGTAACTTACCCCAAGCAATATATGCACAAAACACAGCGACAATTTGCTTTAAGCGCAATTTTAAACATGAATGTCACAGCGGATCTTCTACCGGGGTCTATGTCACATAAAACGTCTTAACACCCGAAATAAAACGACAAAATTCAAATTCAACAAAACGGTTCTTCACATGCCTTAATGTAGACGGGGCGGTAGGTTAGCGTTCGCTCGTCACGCCGAAAGCCCGGGTTCGACTCCAAAAGTGGGTACATTTTGAGAAACCCATTTCTGGTGTCCTCCGCCGTATCATTGTCGGAATAAAAGCGGCGTAAAACCATACTCACTCACCCGCTTAATGTAGATTCTTGCCACGTGTCCCAAAATTGTATTATTACTGTATTACACCTGGCGAATGCATATGCAGAATGCAAAAAAAA